CGGAGTTATGGTGAGGAGAGAGAAAAGTGTTCGGGAATGGTGAAATGATTTCTGGGGATGGGCCGTGTGAAGAGAGTCAAAACGCGGTCTAATTTGCACGAGACCCGCGTGCACGTATCTACGACTTGAATCAATTCAAAGATTTGACTTTTTTTTTTTTTTTTGATAAATAAAATATTTAAGTTAATAAGTTTGGATTTATTATGATGTCTACGAAATCTTTTTATGGTAAGAAGATACGATCATTCGATCACCTAGATAGATATGGAGCATTTTCTAAAAAAAATTGATATGGGAGAATGGTAGAATTATATAGTTGACTTACGAAAGCTAGTAGTGTACATTTTTATATAGAGGTTATGATTCAAGTCCGTATATTGGTTAAAGAGATCATTGGATTAGAGCAAACACCGATAGCATGGATCGGATCTATCAATTTAAGTATTGTATTTAACATCTATTTGAAGTTTATATTAATACTTGTATTTTAATTTTCTTATGGAGAATAAATAAAATTGATAATTTGAATTCTATTACTATGTACTTCCAATCTTTAAAGATTTTCTTTGTTCATCTGATCAATTCCAAGTAGATTTAGATGGGTGCATTTAGACATTTTGACTAGTGACTACCATCAGGAACCATATCATCATCACATGATGCAGTATAACCATCAAGCCATGACCTAGGCTACAACCCTTACCAAAACTTGCCTGAGCTTAACAGTTAAAGCTACTAGTCCACCACCATATCCTCAAGACCTCAACACACCCATTATCATATCCTTGATGCATGCTTGCCTGCTTGGAACATGCATGCATCAATGCATGCCCATTGCCAAGTAAACACAAACACGGCATAGTCAAGCTAGGTCATGGTATTTTTATAGTCAAGCTATCTCATAACCTCAACATAATCCCATAGACTAGATATAATTTGTCAATAAGACGGTCCATTTAAAAAAGGGAGGGGGTTTGGAATTCACAATCTTGTACATTTTGATAGACTAGAAACGAAACAAAACAAATGCCAACAGGGCATGTTCTCATATATTGAAATTCAGTTCAGTTCAGCTCCTAATTTTCTTCTATTTTAAAATATTCTGACAAATTATTTATGAGAGAATAGCTTGAATTGTATGGATGATCTTGGCTATTATTTATAGCCTACAAAAGATAACATACACAATATAAACTCTATCATATAAACTTCCATAAATCTATTTTAGAATATCACTAAGATATATTATTATCCTAAATATAATATCATAAGATCTATATGGAAAAAATATCACAATAATATATTTTCCTATATTCCTAATACCCTCCCGCAATCGTAACGGCAGTAACACGAACGTTATGATTGGAAATTCGCACTTTGTTGAAGTCGATCGAGTTGCACCTCTCTGTTGATGTCACCTTCAAATTTATTGTTTCTTCTTTTTCAACGATGAGAACGTTCATCTTTTCGAACTCATCAGTCATCAATCAAACAGGAACATCATTCTTTTCGAACCTGCAAATAACAATTTTTGGTTTTTCCAGAGCAAAACCGAGCTCCAATCAAATATTGGTTTTTCAAGAGTAAACCACACTCAAATCTTTTATTGGTCTTTCATAGTAACCACACTCAAATCTCTTAATGGTCGGTTTTTCCAGAGCAAAACCGAGCTCCAATCAAATATTGGTTTTTCAAGAGTAAACCACACTCAAATCTTTTATTGGTCTTTCAGAGTAACCACACTCAAATCTCTTAATGGTCTTTCAGAGTAAATCACACTCAAATCTCTTATTGGATTTTCAGAGTAAACCACACTCATATCCAAAGGAGCAAAATCATGCTCGAATCAACTCACAAACCTTGTCTCACGGCACAAGGAGAACCAAATATATCTTGTCTCACGACACAAGAGAGCCGATTTTTTTTTTAAAATATTGCGTCAAGCATAACGCTATTTAATGTCTTCATCTCTAAAGATGTGTTATAGTGGAGGAAGTCCACTCACATACTCCCACAAAAAAAAAAAATTCTCCCAAAAAAAAATTTCACATACACATGTGATTAACGTGTACCGACCCAAAAAAAATAAAAATTTAAAGAGTATTCATATTGCATAGCGGAAGCAAAATTTTGAATCCCACCGGTGGGTTTAACTTTCTAACCCACCGGCAGGGGGGAAATTTTTGTGAGCGGTCCTAAGATTTAACCTGCTCTTGATACCATGCCAAATTATTTATGAGAGAATAGCTTGAATTGTATTGATGATCTTGGCTATTATTTATAGGGGTGTCCGTTCGGTTTTCGGTTTGGATTTAGTCCAAATCCGATCCAATCCGAAATATAATTCGGTTTTCAATTTTTCAATCCGATCCGATCCGAATTTCTCTCTTGATCCAATCCGATCCAATCCGAATTAAAATTCGGTTATTTGGATCCGATCCGAAAATCCGAATTATAATACATTATTTTTTAGCTCCTAATACAATTATAAAAATAAAGCTTTAATACAACTAAAAGTCTTTAAAATAATGAGTAAAATAAATAGCTCAACGTCAAGTCATTAATTAATTAATACAAAGTCTCCCTAATTTATTTTTTGTAGTAGTAAGTATTTGACCTAAACTTCAAAAATTAAAGAAATCCATATTTATACAAGCTTAATTTTACAATTCGGTTTTCGGTTTGGATTTGATCCAATTAGGGTAAATCCGATCCAATCCGAAAATCCGAATTTCCAAAAAATCTCAATCCGATCCAATCCGATTTAAAGTTCGGATCCAATCCGAATTGATAATTCGGTTTGGAATGGATTGGATTTCGGTTTTTATCCGAATTATGGACACCCCTAATTATTTATAGCCTACAAAAGATAACCTACACAATATAAACTCTATCATATAAACTTCCATAAATCTATTTTAGAATATCACTAATATATATTATGGAAAATATATCACAATAATATATTTCCCTATATTCCTAACATATTCATTTCATTTCAGTTCAGATCAGTTCAGCTGAGTTTAGTCGATGAGAATAGGCCCTAAGTTCTTAAAGAATTGAGCCATCAATTTGACGACGCGCCAACCTCAGCTCTTCGCCATCCTATCTACTTTGGCTCTTTCATTACTTACTCCATCATTGATAATCATCTAAGCCACCACTTATTACACCAGTTTTGGGCTCCCCATATCTCTCTTGCTTTTATGTTTGTTCATGGAATAATCATGCATGTCAACTACATTTCCAATTATTTCCAATAATAATAATTTCTTTTGACCTTGCATGCCACCAATAATCTACAGTATATCTTTGCAATCATAGTTGGGTCGGAGTATTTTCATCTTATTTTTACTTATTTAAATTATTTCAAATTATAAAAAAAAATGTTTTGATGATTTCAATAAGAGAATAATTAGCATGAATATAATGATAAATATATATAATAAAGTAAGTTTATGTAAATTAAGCTAACAAAATAAAGTGTGTGTTTATCCAAATAAAATTCTCAACAAATTTTAAATTTTAAAAATAAAATTTAAATGAATAGAATATACCCTATAACCTATACCCCTTTATAGTCCGTATTTGATAGATCTTATGTTAGTTGATGGCTTCATGCAGTACCATTATTTGTACAACTATATGGACTTATGTACTAAAGTAGTGGCCACCCACATCCATGTCCCCACTTGTTTTTATTTACCAAATTAAAGAATACTTTACTTACTCTCTCATAAATTGAAGGATTAATTTCTTTCAAAAAAAAAAAAAAATTGAAGGATTAATTAATTAATTATATTAATGCAACTTTTATATTAATAGTATGCCCATTATGTTAGTAGCTGTGAAGTATAAATTCTAAGTTGCTGTTAAACAAAATGCACCAAATTTTGTACACTATTTCAACTAACCTAATGTTTCCCCCTCATAATTATATTTTCTCAATAATATGAAATTAAATTTTAACCACTATAATTGCATTATCCAACAACACCAAAAATGATGACATGAAAATGAAATAAGCAACCCAAAAAAAATCAATATTGAAGTATCAACCCAATTGGCCACGTGGAGAAAAGATGACCATTATAACCTCTTTAACTATGGTTAGTAAAATTGGTGTTAGGTAAGTTGACTGGTTATTTCTCTTAAGACTTGTAAAGGGTGTTTGTTTGTGGTGGGGGGTTGGTGAGCGTTGGCGCTCTATTTCTTTTTTCTCTTCTCTCTTTCCACCTCCTTCTTTTTCACCTTCTTTACATCACAAATTATAATCTACCCCGCAAATTAACCCATTGCCATCAATTTTGTTTTTGGTTATATCAACGTAAACTTGTATACAACGGGTGTATGAGTTAATCATTTTATTTATCTAAAATTCAAGATTTGCAATCATATACTAATTAACATCTATGAATCCACAATCATATACTTCGTATGTGTTAATTAACAGCTATGATCGTATTGTATAGAGTTATGTATTGACTATTGACAATCATACTTTATAACAATGATCACGAAGTTTTATATGTGGTTGGTCACTTTGTTTGGTCGGGGGTACTTGATCATGGGTTACTCGGTTAATCAGGGGTCACTCGCTTAGGAGTTACTTGGTCATGTGTTACTTGAGGGGTTACTCGATTGGACAAGAATTATTCGATCGGTCGGGGGTTACCCGGTCGATGTTTTGGTGTGTGTCAGCCAACCACACAAAAATATGCAGAATAATGATATGATTAAAAATATTAGAAAAGTAAACATCTTGTTCATAAAATCACCACACAATTTCTATTTTTTCATGCCAATCATTTAAGGACATAGACTTAGAGTTTTCTTGTGTATTGACCTATAATATATACTTCGTAATCCATAGTAAGATTAGTCGCTTCAAATTACAAAAAATTGATTTCAAGTATAATCCATTCGTAGTCCACATATTAAGTAACGAGTTTAGTCACTTCAAGTTAAAAAAAAATCCAATTCCAATTACTAAATTTTATAACATTCTAGATACAAAATATCACTTCATTCAGCAATAAATCATACAGTACTCCATAATATATATACATACACTCGTTGTATACAATACCGGCTTCGATCAATTATTACCCCGTATTATAATTATAATATTAAAAAAAAAAAACCCAACCAAAAAAAAAAACTCTTACATTATTAATACCCCTTCCCAACTTCCATCTCCCTTTCTCTAACTCTCTCTTCTTCCTCAGGAGTCTCTCCTACCCCCACCTCACTTCCAACCACAAAACCAGAGGAGAGAGAAAACTCATTTTTGCGAGAAACTCCATTTTACTTTCTTCTATAATTATTTCTTCCCACCATTTTTCTTCCATTTTTAATTTCTGGGTTTTAATCAAATCATCCAATTTCTTCAAAATCCCAATTCTTTCCCCAATAAATCAACCGAATTTGATCTGGGGTTTTTCCTTTTACTCAATCAAATGGATTCCAACCCAATCAAGGTTTCACCTTTAGATCTAATGAGTGCTATTTTTAAGGGTAATTTCGAGCAGCTAAACGCGTCGTTTGAAGACTCTTCTGCTGCTGCGATCATCGTTGAAAATCGTGAAGTTGTTATGTTTGTTACAACCTCCATTGCTGTACTCATTGGTTTTGCTTTCTTGCTCATTTGGAAGAAATCCAACGGTGGTAAATCTTCCAAAGTTGTATCGGAACTTCCTAAGCCGTTGATTCTTAAGGAGGAAGATGATGTTGATGTTGATGATGGCAAGAAGAAGGTTACTGTCTTCTTTGGTACTCAAACTGGAACAGCTGAGGGATTCGCCAAGGTTTTTATTTTGATCTTGTTCGATAATTTAATTACACTGATTGATGCGTGATTAATTGTATATTAAACTAATACCAATATCAGTTTTAAAAGTATATTTAATGCTTATACTTGGCTCGTATACTAAACCGTGTTTTTTCTATTGGTACCTGAAAATTTGGATTTTATTTTATTGTACTGTATATGATTTGTTTAGAAATATGTGAATCTTATTTTACACTATTTTTGTTTCATTTTAAATTTGTTTGATTGGTTAATTATTTTGCTGTGTTTTTACTTTTTTGTGGTTGGTAGGCGTTAGTAGAGGAAGCCAAAGCAAGATATGAGAAAGCGACTTTTAAAATTGTTGATTTGGTAAGTTTGACCTTTTCCCCCTTTTCTCAATTTGTTTAATTTTGTTACTTTTATTTTAATTTCTGTAATTTTTGCATTTTGATTTTCAATTTTGAATAATATGCAATAGAGGGAAAGTGTTATAATTTGGGATTTTGGAATATGTTCTGAATCTTTGAATAATGTATAGGATGATTATGCTGCTGATGATGAAGAATATGAAAGAAAATTAAAGAAGGAATCTTTAGCTTTCTTCTTTTTGGCAACGTATGTATCTTCTTCTTTTCCTTGATTTCCCTTTTTCAATTGATGATTATATGTGAAGTAAATGATGAATGAAATGCTTGATTCAGGTACGGAGACGGTGAGCCAACAGACAATGCAGCAAGGTTTTATAAGTGGTTCTTAGAGGTATAAAATTATGAGTTCAAGTTAGTCGAATTCTATTTATGTCACTGTCCTTTAAAGATTGAGGTGCATGTATGGATTCCAGTTATCTTAGTTGGTAAAGTCTCGAGGTTGAATACTAAGACGTGGGTTGAATGTTGTCTAATTAATTGTCCTTTGTAGCTCTGTATACATTTTTAAAATGATGATGGAGTATGTTAGTATGTTGTGTGGGGCATGTTATTATGTTATGAAAATTTCGCTTTTGATTTAATCTTCATGTTTCTTTACTTATACGATTTTGAATGTTGACCTTAATTAATTAGTGTTTGATTAATAAATCGTCAGCAAATCAATAATAGGAAATTCACATGTTATAATATAAGTTATGTTGTTGTCATTAAAAGATTCTTTGGATCCTAAAAATGCGTAGAAAGTCTATATTACTTATTTATCGAAGGTGGATGTTCTGTCTTCTGTGTTATAGGGCAAGGATAGGGGTGAGTGGCTTCAAAACCTCCAGTACGGAGTGTTTGGGCTTGGAAATAGACAATATGAGCATTTCAACAAGGTATATACTTCTTTCACCTAAAGTTTCATCCTTCCCCTTGTATTGCTTCTTCGGAAAATGGCAAATTTATGTCCAGGATTAGTTGTAACATTTTCCAAACCCCTCATAGCTAATACTTTAACATTTTTTGAACATAGTGAATTTTGTCTGGAAATACTTTTATTTATTTTTATTTTTGGTGTTAATGTTATTATTATTTTTAATGATCAACAGGTTGGTAAGGAGATTGACGAGCTTCTCGCTGAGCAAGGTAGCTTTTACTTATTTTAGTTGTTCTAATAGTCTAATGTCTGTGTCAACCTGATTGTTGAGCTGTCAGTGACAGTTTGCATGTAATTGCTAATTGTTTAAATGTTTCTTGTTAGGCTTAAAAATTTGAAAGTAGTTTCTTGTTGGGAACTTGTTAGAATGTCCGAGAGAATTTCTTTTAGTTGCTCTAGTTCTTTGCTGTTAGGCAATTGACTTGCTTCTTTCTCATTTTAACGGTATTTGTGGACTTGGATCCTCCATAATTACGTAATGCAGTAAATGAACTATAAAAGTTATGCTTCTTGAAGATACTTTCTTGAGGAATTAATATAGTATTTGTGTTTTGCATAGATATCTTTTGAAACTATTGATGATCAGACATTCAAACCTATTAGATGGGAATCATGGGGCACTATTATTCAGACAGGTTGAATTGTCTGATTAATATGACATTAATTAAGTTTATGGATGATCATGTGATAAGTAATTTGATGTGAGGATTATTTGGCAAGTTTCTTTATTTTTTATGTACATGTTGAACTGAATGTGTGGGTGCTTTTTTGAATGGAAGTTGCGACTTGCAAGTATCATAGAGAAAGCCACAATAAGTGCGGTGGTTGAGAGTCGTACAAAAAATTTGGAAGTTAATAAAAGTACTGGTTTGACCTTTTTTTGGAGAGGGGGATGGGTATTGCAGTGACTGCAGTCTGTTGAGTAACATTCATAAAGGTCTTATACTTGCAAGAGATGACCTTTTATGTCAATTGCAGGTGGAAATCGCCTTGTTCCAGTTGGTCTTGGTGATGATGACCAGTGCATTGAAGATGACTTTTCAGCTTGGTATTGTCTGAAACTTTTCTTCTTAATAATGAACTTGTAATTTGGTGAAAATATACTGAAGTCTGTCAATTTCAGGAAGGAATTAGTCTGGCCAGAATTAGACCGGTTGCTTCGGGATGAGGATGATGTAGCTGTTTCTACTCCGTATACTGCTACCATTCCAGAATACCGTGTAGTTTATCATGAGGCTTCTAATGCAGCTCAGCAAGACAAGAGTTGGGCGAATGCTAATGGTCACGCTGTCTTTGACGCTCAACATCCCTGCAGGTATAGTAAAGAGATTGATTTAATGGATGAAGACCTTTAAATTTCGTATCTTGTTCTTCTATCTGATTTGGCTACTATATTGGTGAAGATCAAATGTTGCCGTGAGAAGGGAGCTACACACTCCTGCTTCAGATCGTTCTTGCACTCATTTGGAATTTGACATTGCTGGAACCGGACTAAAGTAAGTTTTGCATCCTAGATCCATGGCTCATACATCAATTATGCTTTTTCCCTGTCCTCTTTGTTCCATTGGTACATGTGCTCTTTATTTGACTGCTTGGGACCAAACTAAGGTTCTCTTCCTGATCTTCTTCTCTGATTTTAATTTGTATTTTTTTTTTCCAGATACGAGACAGGGGATCATGTTGGTGTCTATTGTGAAAATCTTGTTGAGACTGTGGAGGAAGCTGAAAGGTTACTTGGTGTGAAACCTGATACTTTCTTCTCTATCCATACCGATAATGAAGATGGCACTCCTGTTGCTGGATCCTCACTACCACCGCCTTTCCCGCCTTGTACTGTAAGAGCAGCTCTCACTAGATATGCAGATCTTTTAAGCTCCCCTAAAAAGGTTTGTCATATCTTATCAGCTTGCCTGACCTTCATCTTTTGTATGCTGTGAATTGTTCGTCATTCTGACACGTGTTTTTCAGTCTGCTTTGCTAGCGTTAGCAGCTCATGCTTCTGATGCCAATGAAGCCGAACAACTGAGATATCTTGCATCTCCTGCTGGAAAGGTGAAAAGGCTTTTTATGTCATTTGATTATTATTACGCCTATAGCCTTTTACTTGTCTGTTAAATAACTAGAGCTATATTCTCCAGGATGAATATGCCCAGTGGGTAGTTGCGAGTCAGAGGAGTCTCCTTGAGGTCATGTATGAGTTCCCTTCAGCAAAACCATCACTTGGAGTTTTCTTTGCTGCAGTGGCACCACGTTTGCAGCCAAGATTCTACTCAATCTCATCTTCCCCACGGTAATATATACTTCCACTTTCTTGTCGAACATGCTATTGACATTTAACTTTTCTATCTTTCTTGGCGACTGTTGACATTTAAAGGGTCTATATCCGTCATTATTTAACTATTTATTTAAGCTTGATTTTAGTATAATATTAGTTTGAAAGACTGCCAATATTGAGCGCTTCTATCTTCTAGTTGGCCTTCTCTCTCTCTCTCTCTCTCTGGATATGTTTGCTCCAAGTTCATTTAGAAGCAATCTAAATTGGTTTGATAGTTGAAGTAATTGGCTCTAAGATGATGGTGCGGTATACTAACCATTACACATTTGGCTGTCGTGTGTGCAGAGTGGCCCCATCAAGAATTCATGTTACGTGTGCATTAGTTCTTGATAAAATGCCAACTGGAAGGATTCATAAAGGAGTGTGCTCAACTTGGATGAAGGTTTGTTATAGTAGTAATTTCTTGATTCTATTATGAAATTTCTTGATAGTGCAGTTGTTATAATAGTCTTTTGCCTTTGATTCTGGAGCCTACTTTTTGATTTGGAGAAGGGGTAGGGGGGATACCTATCTATTGCGCGACCAGTGAGGGTTTGTTGGTTCACTTGGTTGGTTATAGACTACTAGTTAAGTTCAAAATTCAATGGCGAGATTATGACAATGTCTTCGACTTTCTTGTGGAAAAGTAAACTTATGTACATAATTTGTTGGGCAATAGTTAAATGATCCATCCATCTTATTCCTTTATTGCCTACTTGAAACATGTTCTATTTATGGGATAAAGCTGAATAAAATGTGAAGTATATTGTTTTTGCGTCCGAGTAAGCCCTTCTTTCTAACCATGTATTTGTCTTTTCAGAATTCGTTGTCTCAAGAGGAGACCCATAATTCTAGTTGGGCGCCTATTTTCGTGAGGCAGTCCAATTTCAGACTCCCAGCAGATGCATCTGTCCCAATTATAATGATTGGTCCTGGAACTGGTCTAGCACCTTTCAGGGGCTTCTTGCAGGTTCAATTGACTAATCAGTATTTCTCTTTATCAAGTGTCCTTTTCTTCTAATATTTCAATACTCATATCTTCTATGGTTCTCAACTTCAGGAAAGGTCTGCTATGAAAGAAGACGGTGTGGAGCTTGGACAAGCATTATTGTTTTTCGGCTGCAGAAACCGTAAAGTGGTGAGACATACTTGAGTTTCCTACCCCATTTTACAATGTTGCATCTTTTATTTAATGTGTATTGATGGATAAATTTTTTTTGGTGAAGGATTATATTTACGAAGATGAGCTCCAGAACTTTGTTGATTGTGGCGCACTTTCAGAGCTAATAGTTGCTTTTTCACGAGAGGGCCCCACGAAAGAATATGTACAGCACAAAATGATGGAAAGGGTATGCCTACATCTTCATCATTGTGAACATTTGGTTGGATACTTAGATAATCAATCAACAGGACGTAAAGACATAATAAATTTAATTCTTCTTTTTATTGCCAATTTTAGGCTTCAGATGTGTGGAACGTAATATCCCAAGGAGGTTATATTTATGTATGTGGTGACGCTAAAGGCATGGCACGCGATGTCCACCGCACCCTTCACACAATCTTACAGGAGCAGGTATGTCCACATGCAAAAATACTTTGAGGCTAGGATCACTTGCATATATATACGATACATAATATGTAATTAATACAATTCATTAACAACACTAGTTGCTTTCTTCAAGTCCCACCTTTCTCACGTCCTTTGCAATTTCTATGGTTTTGAATGGTTCACACTTCACCGTAACCTCCAGCCATTTTGTCAAAAACATCTTTTCACGCACTTCCTTTTTTCTCCCCCGAAAAGTACTTTTTTACAATGATTTATTGTAGCTAACCACCTTTTGCGACAGTTTTTTTCAAATTAACTCTGCTAGCCTCCTTAAATGACCATTCTGCTATTTAAGGCATTTTGAGTAAATGTCAATTTGAAACTACCAAACCAAAGAATATTGCAAAGAAACTAAAATAAAGTCTTGTAGTTGTGAAAGTGGTTGTTTTTAATAATAATGGCTTTTCAGGTAACCGTCAATGCAAGGCGGTAATGATAATGACATAGTGTTCTGTATTAAATAATAGCAGTTCAATGTCCGTGGAAATGCATCTTCACTTTCAAATACACTGTTATTCTTCATAATTTTCCGTTATCACTTGTTACTGGTCTTTGCTGTGGTATCAAGTGAATGGATATGAAGAGAAACATATCTGGAGATGAATTTACCTCGGACTTGGGCATAAAATTTGCTTGCAAACATACATACAAGCTTATTCCCATTTCCTTCATTTGTTACCGTCAATTAGCAGATTGTTTATTACACCAATATACTTGTTACATAGTACATACTTGTGAGTTGTGAAATGTTGCGAGGATACTTATTGGTTGTTTGATTAATTGGTTTGTAGGGCGGTATGGATAGTACCAAAGCAGAAGCCATGGTGAAGAATTTGCAGACTACTAATAGATACTTGCGTGATGTTTGGTAATGACGCGGCTTATTAACATTCAGAAACAGCAGTCGAAAGACACAAAAATTATCGAAGGAAAGAATGGAAGGAGTATACATTTGTTACGATTACCATCCTTGAAATTGATAAGGATGCATAATCGTAGCTTAATTAATTATTTATGTAATTCATTTTTCTGTAAGATGATCCTTTTTTTTTGTTTTCTCTTTTTTTTTTTTGGGCAGGGTATTATTATATTTTGTAACATAATAAGTTGATATTATAAGTATAGTCAGAAATTGAAGGAAATTGTAATTTAACAGTAATTTTGTGAGACAGAAAGCTGTAATATGTATGAAAATGGACCTTCTTTATTATACATTTAATGAAATTATGCATTTACATTAGTTACATAACATTGATTCAAATGGTGCAATCTGAAAGGGGTAACAAGGTATCAGAATTCTCACAATGCACTTTTGTTTGTCGAATTAAAATTTGCACCTCATTCTTCAGTCTTAACACCAAACTTTTTGCTAGAAAAAACTCACCTTCGTGAAATCAGTGATTGAGACATTGGATGAAGTACTTCCACATTCCAATTGTAGCGAAGTGTGATAGTTTTGGCTGTAAGTAGTCCTGGGCTGGTATGATCTTCGTCGATGGATGGGTCAAGGGTGGGCGACGGGCAGATCTGGTTTGGTTTGCAACTTTGCATCCATTGAATGTAAATGACTTGGAAAAATGATCCATACGACCATACCCAACTCGAAAAAACCTAACTTGAGACATCTACTTTACCTGAAATCGCCATTTCTCCTTAATCCATACTCAAAAGGCCAATAATCAATGTTTCTAATAAATCTGACCCGAGAATGACTTGAACCAAACTAACTCAACCTAAACCCGATCTAAATGACCCATTTGTCATCTCTAAATGTGGATGGTGTGAAAATGGTGTGCGTGTGTATGGATGTGTAGCGAAAGAATAGAAGAGACACACACACACACATCATATTAATTTATCAGCTTGTCTTGTGTTTGACTAGCCACACCATGTGGTCAGATGTTAACAAAACAAAGTAACTCTTATAACACTGATCAAGTAACCCATATATCACTGACGAAGTAACCTCTGTATTGTAACACTGACCGAGTAATTCCTATAACACTGACCAAGTAACCCTTATACCACTGATGAGTAACTCCCTGCAACACTGATAGAGTAACCGCTATAACAATAATAAAGTAACCTCTATTATGCCACACCGTGTGGTCAGCCACATATAAGAATTTTTATTAATTTATTAATTAAATAAAGTAGTCATATACTAAAGAGAGTACATGTCCCACTATACTATATATTGACAATTATGAATATTTATTATAATACGATCAGAGACAGTAAGATAAATCGAAAGAAGCATATTTGACCAACGATGGATGACCATATGCTTTTTTTATTTACAATTGATCTGATACTGACTATATTGAAAGAAAATACGAAGAGTTACTTGCCACTACTTGATGACCATGATCTTATATTTGACCCACATCAATTGCTATCTTTACTTATTCAAAGAGTGATTGATGAATGCTGGATTTTTGTATTGTAATAATCACACTTTCTTTGAATACTTACATTTAACTTGCACCTTGTCTTGGAATACTTGTTTATGTCTATGCTTCTAACTCCGTATCTACTAAGGCATTACTCGTCAACCTAGTAATTAATTAGTTTGATTTGTATGAGAAAACTACTAGAGATTCTACACAATTGATCATGCATGATTTTCTCGCATGCAGGGTATGCAGATGGCCTATGCTGCATCCACATTTCAAGTCTAAAGGGCTCTCATGTAAAGGGACGTGATAGTGTTAAACTTTTTGTTAAGTTGATATATTAACAATTACAATCACAAATAGTAAATGAAGTGATTGAGTGTTTTTTTTAAGAAATTTCAACTTATTAATGTTCTCAATACGAATCAGAGTAATATTTCATCTACTTCGGTTGTAGATCTTATTGAGGAGACTTTTATTTAATCAAATAGGTAAATATCCAGTACCTAGTGATTTTGATTTTATTGTAGATGTTGCATGACTTTTAACAAATGAATTGATTTTTTAACTAAAAATATTTAATTATGATATTTTAACTAGAATATGGATTCAAATAGTGCCCCAAGTTATTATATGGGAAACCGTGCCCCAAGTTATTATATGGGAAATAGTTGAGACTTGAGGTCTTAAATTAGGCTCCTTCACTTATCATGTTTTATTTTTAGGAAAGGTGTATGTATTAGGGCTGAGCAAAACTACCCGAAAAACTGAAAATCCGAACATGTTCCGAAAATTAGGGTACCCGATCCGATAACCATAACGGTTCGGGTACCCGTTCCGATAACCATAACGGTTCGGGTACCCGTTCCGATAATTTGTTATCGGGTATGGTTTTTGGGTATCATTTTAAAATTAACGGTTTCCCGTTTCGTTCCGATAAGCAATTATTTTGTTTTTTTCTTACTTAAATCTATCTTTTCAATATTTAAACTCTTACATTACTTCGTAATCACTATATAATATCAATAATTAGTAATGTTATTAATAATTTGGTCAAGATCATGTGGTATTGTTGTTAATTAGTGTTAAAAAAATATCATAATAACTAATATTTTAAGTTTTATTATCACTATTGGATACTTTATTGGGTACCCGGTAACCTTCCGAAAATCCGGGTACCCGAATTTATCAGTTCGGGTTATGGATATCACTTTTAGTGATATTGGTTATCGGGTACGGGTACCCGTCCCATGCTCACCCCTAGTATGTATGTGATAATGTAAAATGATGACATACTACCTCAATTAACTTTTAGTTACAATAAAGGGTTATTTTTTATAAAATATAAAATATTCATTTGTTGCAAATAAAAATTAACAAAAATAAGATAATATATTTTGAATAAGAGATAATGCAATGTAATAGAAACAAATTTTGAAAGTAGTAGTATATTAGAGCAAGTTTAGCCCCAAGTCTTAAAACTTGGATGTAACATCATTTTTGGTGGCCCCCATTGAAAATGATGTCATTAAATTCTTGTTAAGACTCACTTTACACATATTTATCACTTTAACCCTAAGACTTAAATATTTGACATATTATATGTAGAAAAGTGTAAGGATTAAAAAAAAGGGATAATAAAAATAAAAGTGAGGTGAGAGTAGTGGGTCCCAATCTCAAGTCTTAAGTTGAGTCTTGAAATTTCAAGACTCAATTTGAGACTTGTTTGAGATTTTTGAAGAAAAATGGGAAAAGTCTTAAGCATAAGTCTTAAGACTTAAAATAATGATGTCACTCCAAGTCTTAAGACTTGGAGCTAAACTTGCTCTTATTATGAATGTACGTATGATATAGATAGTGGGCCTGGGATGGAATATATTTGCAAACTCTACCCAAAATTGGAATAGTAACCAAGTTTGGATAAATTGACTTTGAGTTGAACTAAAATTGAATCTAGCTAGCCATGACTAAAATTGATTTCAATCTTTTTGTTTCAAAATAACTGAAATATGGCGTTATATGACTGAAATTGATTCCAATCTCTTTGTGAAATGATATTTTAGCTAATATACATTTTTGTATAATATTACTCGTAATTTTTTAAACGTTGAGTGTCATAGTCTGCACTTACTCTAATAGCTTGATAACAAAAGGCACAGTAAATTAGTTTACAATAATGACCCTATTGTGGCCTACCCATAACCAAACTCGACATTGAACCCAATTATGTTCCATAATCCGATCAAATAAAACCTTAATCAAATCCAATCATAACACCTTCAAGACTCAAGAGTCAAGACTTCAAGAGTACAATCCATATGTCACCTACCTCTTGGTCAAATATTAAAAGTACGTACATAAATAATTTACGAAAAACAGGAGAAAAAGAAAACGATCATTAATAATTTATGTAAAACATGAGAAAAAGAAAACTTACAATGTTAGGCTGGAAGTCTAGAACAGAAGTAATGCCACGTTAATACTGATCTCTTTGAAATGCACTAATACAGATCTTAAGATTAGTTTTGTGTCCTTAAATCTAATGCAACTTTCATAATATCCAAACAAAATTAAAAATAAATTTATACTTTGGGATCAACAAAAAGAAAAGCATCTTCTTTAATTCAGTGTCATGTTTAATTGTTTGTAATTAATAAAATTAAATTTGAGTCAAAATTGTAAGCGAACCATTCGCCGACGGTAACGCTCAAAGGTTTTCTCTTACGTCCATGCAATTTCAATTTACAAGAATTATTTTACCAATTTTATTTAATTTCATGTATTTTTCTCTTATATTTATATGGTCCAACCTAAATTGCTTCGCCTTCACGTTATTATAATTATAATTATAATTATAATTATGTGATCCCCATAAAAATTATATGTATAAAAATTAGATGAGATCCTATATTTCTTCATGTATTGTTATCAACATAAAATAAGAATTATATGATATTGTTCATGTTAGTGAACAAAGATCCAAATATAATGTAATAGTACCATATAATATAATAGAATTATATTTATATGATTCAACCAACTTTTGGGTTTCGCAAGCAAACATGCCTCTTCCGCATGGGGGCCTTATCTTTGCAAGTAGTTCAAACACAAACACTAGACAGCCAGACAAGGAATTTTAAGTCACTATGTCAAACACAAGCAACAACTTGTTCATTATCTATTTTTTTATTCTTTGGTTTCAAATAATTTATTATAAAAACCGAACCCTTAATTTAGTGTATGTGTGGGATGATACTTCTCACATTGTCGATGTATCTCTTAATGTTAGGATGTGTGCTCATGTATAATCGATCAACTTATTTTAACTTATTATCAAATTAATTCATATCGACTAGTTATTTTTATCATAATAAACAAGTTTCAATTCACAACCAAAAATAAATAAATAAATAATGGTTTCATATATTCCGTTGATTTAAGCATAATTAGGACCCCAAGTCAAAGTGGAAGGTAGATCACAAGTATCCATCTTGCTTGGTAGGAGCTAGGGTTTCTCCTCCTTTATGTAGATCTTGGAATGATCAATTCTTGTTAATTCATAAGGAAAATAATAACGCAAAATTTTCACTTGGTTTATCAAGTTATTAAGTTCAAGAGTACAACAGGTTAAATCTCAACTCAGTTCAATATATAATTAAAACTTTTTCTTTATTGAGAACTAAAGTTATTATTTATGATCATCAATCCCTTGTTGATTTTTTTATAAGAAATTACAGAGTATCATATATAAACCAAAGATTATGTTGAGCCACATATGTAATAGATAAAATATCAATAAACCTAAGTATTCATACTTCGTATATATGTTTTTTTTTCCGAATTGGATCACTTGGACTACATACACTTGATGTCACATGCTCGACGGATCCAATTCAATTAATTTATTGTATTGTCTTACAAAATTAACTGAATATAGACCTTTATAATTTACTTGCACATAATGATTTATGCCCATATATACCTGGCTTGATTTTAATCTAAACTAAATTGAGCTCAATTAAACTTGATTCGAATGACTTATTAACCACCTCTTAGTATATATATGATTATATTTATATCATTAAGTATTAATAGCCGGAGGGTTTAAGTTTACTATCATACTACAATTGTATAAAAAAAACATTGCTTCTTAGGTGTTGATGTTTTGAAAGTGCTACGTACAAAAGTATCCAATTCTGAACTAACGGCATCCCAAGCAAATTCAATTCAACTCACCATCTTGATCTTGAAATGAGGAAAAAAAGGAACTTCCCCAAAAACTTTTATATAATAATTTATAAAATAAAAAAAAAACCCTCTAAATCAATTAATTAAGATATATAATTTCAATTCAGACATAAATGTACTCCTATCCAACCCTTTCTATTTAAACTCTCTTTCATGTTATATAATTTCATTCATTCCAAACATACCACTAAAAGCTAGCTTGATCACTCACACTAACTACCTCCTCCACCGACTCTCTCTCCCTTTCTCTCTCTTCTTTCTCTCTCTTCAAAAACATTTTGAGAAGAAATATTTCAAGAATTATAATATATGCTTCTTATATAATTATTAGAAGCATATATTATAATTAGCATACAAACATACATACATAATTATCATGTATAACATGAACAACAACAATATTATTGAGGTTCAAAGGCAAGAATCCTTAAAAAGAAGATGGCATGATAGTTTCTACACTAGACTTCTTAGTGCACCTACCGCCCCTACTAACCCTACTACATCTGTGGCGTCGTCCTCAACGACGTCACAACAATCATTATATATAAGTAAACCACCCCATCATCACCATCGCTTCCTCCAACCAGGGAGGTTAGATGGTGGTGGTGGAGATCTAGTCCTAAACGTTGTGCCCTCGATCACAGTTGTGCTCGAGGGCAGATCGATCTGTCACCGGATTAACCTACAAAACCATGGTAACTACCAAAGTTTAGCCAAGGCTCTTAGACAAATGTTTGTGGAAATTGCAAATATTCAACAAAATGATGATGAAAATAATAATAATAATATTTGTGGTGATAATGGACAACAACAACAACAACAACTTGATTTGTCTAATGCTGTTCCTGGTTATGTTATTGCTTATGAAGATATGGAGAATGATCTTCTTCTTGCTGGTGATCTTCAGTGGAAGTACGTCTTTTTTCTCTCTACTATTTCTCTTCATCTACTTTTTTTCATTTAATTCATGATTATGTTTTTATTTATGTATTTATTTAAGGTTTTTTTAGGAATATTTATTTATTTTTTTGAAGCATATTTATTTATTTATTTTAATTTGAAACGGCTTTTTATTATTTTAAGGGGGTCTGTTTATTTATAAATGAAAATTTCGCTAAAAATAGAATAAATTATTGTTGTGTATGATATATTAAAGATCGGGAATTTTTACATGATAATTAATCGAAAAACCATCATAATATTTGGGCAAAATAATACAAGAATTTTTGGTGTCAATAAATTTTTTTATGAAGTTTATTGCCCAATTTACTTTTTTTTTTTAACTAAAATATAAAGAAACTAAAGTAATATTTTAAAAAATTTAAGACATCTAATTTATCAATTTAAAATTACATCACAATTAAATTTTATTCGAAAAAAAATATTTGCAAGCAACACTATGTTGTTCTTAGATATAACTATAATATATCATGTGGGAAATTAAATAATATGCTTATCGCTTAATTTGATGATACTTTGTTCGAGTACTAATTAATTTTTTCTGAATTTACTCCCTTTGAATTTAATTTAGTTTTCATTTTGTTAGTACGATTCATATAAATTACGTATGAATCTGACTATTTAATTAATAATAATACGGATGGAGAATTGGAGAGGAAGATATTTAATTAGTAGTCGTATAATAAGAAAGATGCAAGAATCAGAAGATTGGAGACAATACACTGTGGACAACACCTTAAAAATAATAAGTGTCCTGGGACACTGATTTTCTGGAAATTACGTATATGTAGGTACATATAAATATTGCATGAATTATAGATTATTAATGTGTTTGTTTTTGGGTGTGCATAAATATTTAAGTAGTCTGTGTAAAATGTCAATACATATTTGGTCCCAAAACTTGTCCTATTTTATCAACTTAATTGTTTTAGAGCACCAAAAGTTAGTACTACTTATTGTTGTGCACTATATGTTGTATTAATTCCCAAAATATATGTACGTGATTTCACATCCAACCTCCCCCAACCAAGCAACGAGTTATTTACTTCAGTTAGGTGTGTGTAACTGATGACACCAAAATTAATCACCTATTTAAGCCTATGGACCTCAAGGTATGTAGAGTCGACTGGTCATTTATTTTTTGCGTAATATGTATTATCTGTCTTTTAAGTAAGGGACGCAAACGTTCACCATCTGACCTATTTTGAAATGGTATATACAAGTTGCGCAAGTAAAGCAATCTATCCGACATACGACAGTTCAACTTGAATGCGTCAGACCATCTATACGGACATGGTTTTGAAAAGTTTTATCTAGTATTTTTTTTTAGAATAATATTATCACCAACATGCTACTATAAATTAAATTAGATGATATAGATTCAAACATCATCATCTTAAAACTTTTTTAGGGCATGTCCAATAACTTATTGGAGCATGCACCCTTTTCATTATAAGATAGCACTTCTAGCTGAAAAAATAAAATAATTAAAATAGAAAAGGTCAAGTAAAATAGGTACAATTATAAATTTGAGAAAATAGAGATTGTTTATTTTATTTCATTATAAGATCGAAGGATTGAATAAGATGTTATTCATCTCTTATGATAATTTCCTCCTTAATTAAGATGGCTAGCTATCTAAGCTAGCTAGTATGTGCATGTCTCTTGAGTATCAACTTGCATGCATTGTTTCTTAAGTTTGAAGAATTGAAGGAGAGTTAAATTAATTAGGATGATTATTCTTTGATTGTCCTATAATAAAGCCTTTAATTGATTAACTACCCTTCTATAAAATTTCCTTCATCTTCTAAGCTACTCTTCACACTTTCCAAATCGTTCCATGGCTTTAAGCAGCAAGGTACGTACGAGTATAATATAATATACTAGCTAGTATATATATGCAATTTTAAAAGTCTTGTAGTTCATGTTAAATTGAAACTACTATATAATTAATCTCCTCGTTTTCAAGTTTTACAAATAAGATGTCGACTCATATTACTTACATACTAGAAGAAATTAAGAATATTTGCTATAATATTCACCATATTATAAATTGATTATGTTAAACCATGTATTATGTATAGCTATTATGTATAGCTAATGGGCCGATTTTAAGTCCTAATCTCTTCTCCTAAGTTGTATAAATATATTCCATATTATCGTAATACAACACACACAAATTCATTTACTCTAATTATTTTCTCTAGTTTGACAGATTATAAAATCAAACCTTATTGTATAAGCATTGTTTGTGTGTTCGGGTATATATCTCTACGCTCATCTCATGTGCCCTAATGAGAATTTACGAGGTCATCACACTATGTAGACATATTGTATTTCTTCTTTTTCTTATATAGGAGGAATTAATTAGAGGAAATTAAACATTTATTTTTTTCAAGAAAAATATATAAATTTAAAATTTTAAACTCAGATTGTAAGTTTGTAACATATGATTGTGAGCAGGGATTTTGTACGAGTGGCAAAAAGAATTAGGATACTGCCGGTGAAGTCAAGTTCAAGGAAGCAGAAGAGCACAAAACACTAGTCAATTTATTTTCCTGTTTTTGTGGGGAATAACGTACCAATTCTTTAGTTCAGTAACCCCTCTTCCCCCAAATTAGAAAAAAAGTAAAAATCAAACTTGTAATGCTAGCTTGATTTCTAAAATTTATCAAGATGATTTTATAATATATGTGCCTTCAATTAATTTAAACTTCCATATCCATAGCAAATTTGATAATGTCTCGGTTATCCTAAGTTCTGTTCATTTACAATAAACTCGATAATCAAGGGTAACGGATCGGATCATATTCTTTTTTTGCTCATTGGGGAAGTAAAAGGTTAGTGGACCCTCATGTTGCATGGTCGAGTAAGAAATAAAGCAAAAGTAGGTACAACTAAAAAGACGGCGTATAAGAGAAAGTAATAAACACAAAACGAGTAGCATTGTTTTGAATTTTCAGACGAAAAATTGCGTATGAGGTTAGTAAATATTTAAATTAATTAAGACTAAAAAATGTAGGTCCAATTATAACGCAAATAAATTAAGAGAGAGTGTCAGGGGATGAGTGGATGACCCAAAAATCGACCCCAACTCTAACCCCATAGTCCCCATTCTCTTAAAATGTCTAAAGACTTACGTAGTATCTAACTATCTATCATTACAATTTACAAATTTCAAGTTCTCTTTGAGGAAGCAACTATAAGGAAATTAAACACTCGTATTAATATTGCGTCTCAATATAAAATTCCTCATTGATTTTGACATGAAAATTATGGACGTGTACTTGAATGATAATATTAATTGTACGTGTTCCTAAATGTTATCGTTATTGTTTTCTTGGCTTAATAACAACGAATTTCTTGAATATTTATTATTTCCCATTATTTCGTATGGTATCTCAAAGTGTAATATTTGTACTTAATTTTTAACACACCGATTAACTGTCATTATCTTCCTTTTAGATTTCCCCTTGCAACTTCTTTTAAAGTACATCTTCATTTTGGTTTTAGTTAAAACGTTTTTATTTTGACATTATTCACACCCATTCTCCTTTATTTGATCGGCCGTGCTTTGTGATTAATACATAATAAGTAATATACTTATGTGGTATATATTTTATTAAATTCATCTAAATTATTTATAAAAATATCAACTTTTATATATGTACATGTTTTTTTTAACTGATGTTCATCCGTTCATGCGTTTCCTCTCAAACTAATCTTGAAGCATTTTCAATATCTTTAGTAATATTTAAAGTGAAAGGGGATTTTTTGTGATAAATTTTACTTTTCCAAAATACCCCTCTCTTGTTTTATTTTATTTAATTTTATTTTATTTTTGTTTTAAAAAAACTAACATCCTATTTTAAAAATAAAAACTACTACCTTTAAAAATAAAAATAAAAAATAAAAACCTCCAAGACTACATCAATTTTTAAATTCAATATTTTTTTTTATTAAAATAAGGTAGATAATAGTACAGAAAAAAATGGAGAATCAATTCATATAGAATTTTATATTGCACACGCAATGGGCGTGTGTCTCCTAGCTTGTATTAATTACTAGTCATCGAAGAAAAACTATGATTCTATTAGTACAAAACCTGATATGTATGATAGGAAGCACACAAAACCGTCCTATAATTTTATTTTATTTTTCTTGTCAAAGAATTTTTATTTTTATTTTTATTTTTAATCTAGGATTTATAGTTTAAATTAAATAATTCTAAGTTTTCTAATTCAATTCAATTTAAATTAAATATATATATATATCATAATGGTTATTTTAACAGAACTTATTGACTTGGAAGGAATTAACCCCAAATTATTATTATCGCAAATGGAAATAACATAAACTATTTTGCACTCATCAGTCATGGCCTTATAAACTTAATTTGGTTCAGTTAATTCATGCACATAAACTCTAATTATCAATATCTAGTCTTTTATCCTCATTATTTCATCAATATTGATGTGGGAAAAAAAATCAAAATTTGGCGGTCTTAGAAATAAAAGTATCAAATTAAGCTTTTATTATTAATCCCAAGATTTCCAACAATAAATAATTTGTGACCTTTTCAAATGACTTCATCAAGGACTTAAGGTATTTTATACATTCATGCATGACTCATCCATGCATTTCATTCCTCCTTTTTATTTTTTTTAACTTTTAAAAGATAATTAAAATCAAATGACCCCGATCCGAGATGTATCCCTTAAAATTTCAAGACTCTTCAACACTGGGCCCCGAAACCTCCAAAATTTCTCAAAAAACGTGGATATTAGTCTTCATGGTATTTTTTGAATTTTTTTTTGCCCGAAAATAAAAATTGCCGAAATATTTACCATGGACCCTTATACCCTCCGGAAGTCAAATTGGGTTGGTGGAACCATCCAATTTGCCTTTAAACGACCAATTTAATTATCGGGTTTACAATTTGCACGGATTTCATTAAATCAAACCTACTACGAACATTTATGACAACATATAAAGATCATATATGGTTCCAAACGGTATCATATGACCCCGAGATGTATCCCCTTAAATCTCAAGGATTTTCGACACCGTGCCTTAAACCTCCAAAATTTCTCAAAAAACGTGAATATTAACCTTAAATTTTGAAATTTTGGAATTTTTTGACACCTGTAAATAAAAATTGACAAAATATTTAATAACATGGTCCCTAATACCCTCCAGGAGTCCTATTAGGTGGGTAGAACCATCCAAACTGCCTTTAAATGGTGAATTTACCGGTTTACAAATTGCACCGATTTCATTAACTCAAGCCTACCACGAACATTTATGATAACATATAATGATCATTTATGATTTAAAACACTATTATATGACCCAGAGATGTATCCCCTAAAATCTCAAAGCTTTTCGACACCGGATTCCGAAACCTAAAAAATTTCTCAAAAAGCGTGGATATTAGCCTTCAATTTTTAATTTTTTCGACTTTTTTTCACCTGTAAATAAAAATTGCCGAAAAGTTTACCATGGTCCCTAATACCATCCGGGAGTCTCATTGAGTGGGTGGAACCATCCAATTTGCCTTTAAACAACCAATTTACCGGTTTACAACTTGCACCGATTTCATTAACTCAAGGCTACCACGAACATTTATGACAGCAAATAATGATCATATATGGTTCCAAGCAGCATTATATGACCCCGAGATACATCCCCTAAAAGTTCAAGACTCTTCGACACCGGGCCCCGAAACCTCCAAAATTTCTCAAAAAGCGTGGATATAGTCTTCAATTTTGGTATTTTTTGACTTTTTTTCGCACGAAAATAAAAATTGCTAAAATATTTACCATGGACCCTAATACCCTCCGGGAGTCCAATTGGATTAGTGGAACCATCCAATTTTCCTTTGAACGGCCAATTTAGTTATCGGTTTATTACAATTTGCATGGATTTCATTAAATCAAACCTACTACGAACATTTATGACAACATATAATGATCATATATGGTTACAAACGGCATTATATGACCCCGAGATGTATCCCCTTAAATCTCAAGGATTTTCAACACCGTGCCTTAAACCTCCAAAATTTCTCAAAAAACATGAATATTAGCCTTAAATTTTGGAATTTTTTGACTTCTTTTTCACCTGTAAATAAAAATTGACAAAATATTTACCATGGTCCCTAATACCCTCCGGGAGTCCAATTAGGTGGGTGGAACCATCCAATTTTTCTTTAAATGGTGAATTTACCGGTTTACAAATTGCACCGATTTCATTAACTCAAGCCTACCACAAACATTTATGATAACATATAAGATCATTTATGATTTAAAACACTATTATATGACACCGAGATGTATCCCCTAAAATCTCAAAGCTTTTCGACACCAGGCTCCGAAACCTCAAAAATTTCTCAAAAAGCGTGGATATTAATCTTCAATTTTTAATTTTTTTGACTTTTTTTTCACTTGGAAATAAAAATTGCCGAAAATTTTACCGTGGTCCCTAATACCGTCCGGGAGTCCCATTGAGTGGGTGGAACCATCTAATTTGCCTTTAAACGACCAATTTACTGGTTTACAACTTGCACCGATTTCATTAACTCAAGCCTACCACGGACATTTATGACGGCAAATAATGATCATATATGGTTCCAAGCAGCATTATATGACCCAGAGATGCATTCCCTAAAACTTCAAGACTCTTCGACACCGGGCCCCGAAACCTCCAAAATTTCTCAAAAAACGTGGATATTAGTTTTCAATTTTGGTAATTTTTGACTTTTTTTCGCCCAAAAATAAAAATTGTTGGAATTTTTACCATGGACCCTAATACCCTCCGGGAGTCCAATTGGGTTGGTGGAACCATCCAATTTGCCTTTTTACGGCCAATTTAGTTACCGGTTTACAATTTGCACGTATTTCATTAACTCAAACCTACTTCGAACATTTATGACAACATATCATAATCATATATGGTTCCAAACGGCATTATATGACCCCGAGATGTACCCCCTTAAATTTCAAGGATTTTCGACACCGTGCCTTAAACCTCATAAATTTCTTAAAAAACGTGAATATTAGCCTTAAATTTTGGAATTTTTTGACTTTTTTTTCACTTGAAAATAAAAATTGACAAAATATTTACCATGGTCCCTAATACCCTCCGGAAATCCAATTAGGTGGGTGGAACCATCCAATTTGTCTTTAAATGGTGAATTTACGGGTTTACAAATTGCACCGATTTCATTAACTCAAGCCTACCACGAACATTTATGACAACAAATGATGATCATATATGGCTCCAAGCAGCATTATATGACCCCGAGATGCATCCCCTAAAAGTTCAAGACTCTTCGACACCGGGTCACGAAACCTCCAAAATTTCTTAAAAAGCGTGGATATTAGTCTTCAATTTTGGTATTTTTTGACCTTTTTTCGCCCGAAAATAAAAATTGTTGAAATGTTTACCATGGACCCTTATAACCCTCCGGGAGTCCTATTGGGTTGGTGGAACTATCCAATTTGTCTTTAAACGGCCAATTTAGTTACCGGTTTACAATTTGCACGGATTTCATTAATTCAAACCTACTACGAACATTTATGACAACATATAATGATCATATATGATTCCAAACGGCATTATATGACCCCGAGATGTATCCCCTAAAATATTAATACTTTTCTACACCGGGCCCCCAAAACCTCCAAAATTTCTCAAAAAGCGTGACCTGGATATTAGCCTTTAATTTTGAAAATTTTGATTTTTTTGCCGGAAACAAAAATTGCCGAAATGTTTACCATGGTTCCTAATACCCTCCAGGAATCCATTTGGGTGGGTGGAACCATCCAATTTGCCTTTAAACGACCAATTTATCGGTTTACAACTTGCACCGATTTCATTAATTCAAGCCTACCACGAACATTTATGACAACAAATAATGATCATATATGGTTCTAAACGGCATTATATGAGTATATTACCCCGAGATATATCTCATATAATTTCAAGACTTTTCGACACCGGGCCTCGAAACCTCCATAATTTCAATTTTGGAATTAATTGACTTTTTCTTCACCCGGAAATAAAAATTGCTGAAAATGTTTACCATGGTCCCTAATACCTTCCGGGAGTCCAATTGGGTGTGTGGAACCATTCAATTTGCTTTTAAACGGCCAATTTATCGGTTTACAACTTGCACCGATTTACCAGTTCACAACGGGCAATTTAATTAACTTGCACCAAACCCGACTTGAACCGAAATTGACCCAAACCCGTTTTAATCCATCAAAACCCGAATTTAACCCAACTTGCTACTTACCTGACCTGAATTCAACCCGTCCCGTTCTTAACCCGGTCTGAATTTAACCTAACCCGTTACAAACCCGACCCGAAATCAACCCGACTTGTTATTGACCTGACCCAAATTCAACCCGACTTGTTATTGACCCGACCCGAATTTTACCATACCTATTACTTACCCAACCCAAAAATTCAACCCGATCTGTTACTAACTCGACTCGAAATTAACACTACTTGTTATTGACCCGAACTAAATTCAACCCAAATTGTTCCTAACCCGATTTCAAATCACCTTAAATGCAATTTAGACCACCTTATTATTGTTGAGAGACCAAGTCGGTCTAGGACAACAAAGTAAAGGAGCAACATCATCAAATTTAAGAATTAAATATAGTATATATTTATTGTATGGTTAGAGGAGATAATTATCTTCCTAAATTATAGACTATAATTCCCTAGTATATTGCCATATACTTCGTATATTATAGTCAAAGGAAATAATCAGCTTGATAAAAATGATAATTATCTATTTATAATTAGTTGAACCCAAATATGACCCGACTTGGAAATGACCCGACCAGATTAAACCTGCAAATTATTGACTTGAACATAACCCGACTTGAATCCGAGAATGACCCGACTTGGAAATGACCCAACCTGATTATAACTCGCAAATTATTGACTTGAACCGAACCCGACTTGAACCCGAGAATGACCCGACTTGATTATAATCTGCAAATTAATAACTTGAAACGAACCCGACTCAAACCCGAGAATGACCCGACCTGATTCTAACCCGCAAATTATTGACTTGAACCGAACCCGACTCGAACCCGAGAATTAACCAAACCCGTTTTAACCCGTGAAAACCTGAATTAAACCTGGCCTATTGTTCACCCGACCCAATTGTAACCCGACACAAACCCGATAAGAAGTATGACCCGACGTGACCCGACTCAAGCATGACCCAACCCAAACCCGACCCGCATAGGTTATGCAATTAATCTTAATTGCCCCAACCCGAGTTGACCCGACCCACTTTTACTCGACCCGTTTACCCGAATTGACAGCTCTAATTAATATCATTTTTTTTTTAATTATAAAACTCAAATTAATATTTCGCAGGTTAAAATCGAAATGGATCTAACTTTGAAATGTTGGATCAATAATGGGTTGGGTCCAAAATTTCAAGTTATAAATCCGAGAACCACCGGCACTAGTAGTTATTGCATTTACTTTATCATGATGGCCTTGTTTGGCAAATGGCTATTGGCGTTGGCTGGTTCACTTGACTTGTTTGATCAGTTGGAATATTTGGCTGATTATAATGGCTTTTGAAATTGGTTGTTTACGCTGGTTGTTTATAAAAGTGTTTGGTAAATTAATTGTTGGTTATTGACTGTTTATTAGATAATTTGTAGGCCAACAAGTTAAAAGCCAACAAAAAACGGCTACTAAAAACAACTTTTTCATTTTGGCTTAAAAGCCAGTTGTTTCGCTGACAAAAAAATCAATTACTTAACACATTCTTTGGTTGTTTGTCACACAAAAAAGCCAAAAGCTAATAAAAAAAGTCACTAAAAAACCATTAACCAAACATGACCAATATTTGAGGGTGGAAACCCCCTTACTTCACTATACAACCGGTTGTACCTAGCTCAGTCAATCACACTCATATTATTATTATTTTTATTATTTTTTAAATTATTTGATTATATTTGCTCATAAAATAAGCATGGTTATACATTTCTAGATTCAACTAGTCGTATAATACGTAGTTGTAAAAATTGCACCTTCTGCCCCTACTCTTAAGCTTTAACATACGTCGTTGAAACTAATTGACGCGTAAGAGATGCCGCTCAAATATAAACGTTGTCCTACTTGTCCATATCAAAGAAGAAAAAAAATTCCTAGACAAGGTACACAACTACACAAGAATAAAAACGAGCATCAAATAATCAAATATAGCTAACTTTGGTTTTCAAGGGTCAAAGAGCAAAGACCCTTTCGACCGATGGAAGGGACTAAATAGTAAATACCCTCCAACAAACGTATTAAATGAATGTTTTCACCAACAAAATGGCAAAGTGAATGTTTTTTAATTAACTTACACGTGCTCTAAAGAATAATAAATTGGTGTAGGCTTAATGGGCCGGGCTCAGTCAGCCCAAAAGGTATAAACAGAAACTACCATATTTCCTTTTAATAATCAGATTATAGTGGGAAAATTCAAAAATTCAGAACATGCTCTCCTTCTCACACTACCAACTATAACCACTTCAATGTGACCATGGCAAGCCAGTCGATGATCGTTCAGTACATCGACTTCAATCGTAACTAGTCTGTCCAAAAGAGGGCAGCAGCATAATGCAGACTTAAGAGGCATAGGGAGGAATATGCAGGTAGGTTGCCTGAAAGGTTACAGCATATAAACCAGCATTTTCCATTCTGCTGAAGACAACAGAAGAAATGAGGCTGTTTGTTAACAAAACTTACATGACTTTCCTACTGTCACAATTTTTCTACTTCAAATCGTAATTCCTAACTGTTATGAGTTAAAAGTCCTAAGTTCAGAATGTCAAGTATAATGTGCATTTGCAGAAACCAGAACAAAACTCGAGAATAATGCAAACAAATCAGTTACAGTTGATACTTTAGTCTAATCGATAAGTTTAAGAAAAGAAGCAAAATCCAAGTCCTGTGACACAAACAATCGAGAACTTTCACCTGTCCAAGAGACGCATTTCGACCTATGTGAACTTACATAATTCGTTTATAACAGCATATATCAGATATATGTATGTGGATGAACTAGAAACAAACTTCAGAGTTCTGAGTTCTGACATTTCATACTATATGAAAGCAAAGATTGGACTTTTAAACATAAATCATTTCCCCAATTCCTCCCACAACGGCCCTAAATCTCAATTCTGCTATGCTTTCAACTCAAAATATGAACCTGTTAACCATGAGAATGGATACAAACACAGTAAAACACAACAGCAGCACATGAAAGAAAATACTCAAATGACTAGAAATGTTAGAAACGAAATCAATTATATTGATTGATTGATCGATAACAAGTACTCCGAAAGAAAAAGAAACTAACATATCAGCTCTAGTTATACTCCCAACTGGCCAACTATACAACAGAATTACCAACACTTTCTGCCTGAAACCCTTGATCCACAAACACTTCTACACTATAATTCCAATTCCAATACAATTACAGTAGAACTAATCTACCTGTATCATATACTACCACTGTCAAAGGACAGCAACCTCAAAACTCCCGCAACACCACCCATCGATTATCTCATTTTCACTGCAACACCAAACAAAATAAACCAAATTTTACAATCCCATTCAATCAAATCAATACATATCACAAGCATTGAACCAAAACATTAAAAATCCATAAAAATCACATTTTTCCAAGAACTCCATTGTCCAAATGTGGATTAGATTATAGCTTGAAACTCAAAGTTCTAAACTTTTAAACCCGAATTCAATTACAAAATGAGCGCCAACATCATCAAAAGAAAAATATCACCAAAATTCAAATCAAAATAAATTCTTCACATTCAATTAAAAAATGTAATTAGTTATCGAATTATACCTTTCCAACCTTAGGAGGCTCCGGAGTCTCATTAACTTTGTACATCTCCGGCGAAATCTCAGACAACCATAACCCCGGAAAAAGCGTCTGTAAGATCAAAACCAAGGCAAATTAAAAACAATCAAAACTCGAAAAATTGATCAAAAATTGAATTCAAATTTCCCGCAAAATTCAAAGAAAAATGATTTTTTTTTTTTTTTTTTTTTTTACAAAAACTAAAGAAATTAATCAAACTCACATCCAATTGTCTCTGAACATAACGAGATCGTTTCTTCGGTTTCCGGGGAGGTCGTCTCCCCGTCATCTCCACGAAATCATCCTCAATCTCATTCCTCGACAACGGCACCGAAAACTTCGCTCTCCCACCATCAACCCCGGAAACACAAACTTCCGCCGGCACCGTCGCCGGAGGAATTTCAACGGTCGCCGGACTCCGGCGAGTTCTAAGATTCCACGGTCGATATTCCGGCGGAGGAGGCGGCGGAATCGAAGGGGTTAATTCGGAATTTCCCATATAATCGGCGTTAATTTTATCGACTTCAGAGCGAAGATTGAGCATTAGCTTTTCTCGAATAACTTCGATTTCATTGTCGACTTCACCGCGACGAATAGACGGCGGTTGAGGAGATCGAAACGATGCGTTTCGGCGTTTCCGGTCGCCGGGAATTGAATCGGAAACGGCATCGTTTGAGGAAGAGGGGTTGTTGGTATTGGTGATTTTGGCGCAACGAAGAAGTTTTTGAGTACCCCAATTCAAGCGTGGTGGTAAGGAGAAGTTATGGAGATGTCTAGTTCTTTCTGGAGCCATCGCCGCCATATATATGATGATGAAATTCTCAATCAATTTTCTCTCTCCTCCTCTTCTTATTCTTCTTCCTGTTCTTGTTCTTGGTGGGTGTTTTCTCTGTTTTTTGGAATCTGGGTGTTACGCCATTGATGAATTGGAGTAAAGGGTATTTGATTGATTGAATTTCTGGGAATTTGCCTGAATTTTGCTAATGAAATTCTGAGTTTTTAGGGGGAATTTGGAGAAAATTACAGTTGGGTTTTTTTGCTGATGGGATTGGAATAGGGAATTTGAGATTTGAATTGTGTTTGAGAAGAAATTGCTGAGAAGAGAGAGAAAGAGAGAGAGGGAGAAATATGGAGGGGAAAGGGGGGAAGAGAAAGAGGAGAGTTGGACAGTGGAGGGAGGAAAGAAAGAGAGAGAGAGAGAGAGAGAGAGAGAGAGAACCGATTTTAACGTTCGGATTATTTTTGGGCTTTTTTTCTCTTTGTTTTTCTCATGTTTAAAAGGGTTTTTTTTTTTCTTTCAGTTATAGTTCGATATCAAATTAATTGCATCAATTTGATTGGCGCAACTTTGGTTACCCCCTCTCTTCAAAATAACTACAAGTAAATAAAACTTTGGCTATTCAATTAATTAAGTAATTATATATATATATATATATATATATATATATATATATATATATATATATATACGGGGAGGTTCCGCTAAAAACAGAGCTTATGGTGAAAACTAAAAACAAGCCATCTTAGCCATTCATTACTAGCACAAAAGATCAGACGATTCTAAAGCCCTAAGATCATTCCAACCTTACATATAATCAATTCAACCGTTTTAAAGGTCTTTTTTTTTTTTTTTTTTTTGACAAACGCAACGTTTTAAAGGTCACTACATGCTAAAATAAAGTAACTTTATCTAAATTGACGATATTTACATAGAGTCACTATATATAAAAATAACGTAACTATATACAAAAATAGGGTAGCTATTTCAATTTTTACAATATTTACATTAAGGTCACTATATACAAAAATAGGGTAACTATTTCAATTTTGACCATATTTACATAGAGGTCACTATATACAAAAATAGGGTAACTATAACAATTTTTACAACATTTACATTAAGGTCACTATATACAAAAATAAAGTAACTATATCGTCTGAGTTTTTGACACCATTTACATAAAGGTCACTATATACAAAAATAAAGGTCACTATATATAAAAATAAGGTGACTGAAACAAAATTTACAACATTTCCATAATTCTAAGGTCATTATATCGAAAATAAGGTAACTATATATTAACTTCGGGTAATTACATCAATTTGACACCATTTACCTAGAAGTCGATAAATATAAAAATAAGTATTAAAAAAGTCTATGTAGGATTCGAACCTACATCCCGTGATTACACGGTGCTCGACCAATTGAGCTAATAGGCTTTCAACATGCCAAAACAGCCAATAAAAGCATACCAACATCACAGACCAACATCATACAGACTGAAGCAAAACAAGCTTGACAAGATCAACGTTTCAAGAACAGAAGCAGAGGCAAATAAAAGCATACCAGGATATCATGATACGAGCAAGCCACCTGTATATGAGGAATCCCAACTAAATGTAGATATTGAACAGGCAGGCACCAAAAATCATACAATCAGAGATAAATCTTCACAAAGGCTGAAGAAGGTTACTATACTAACTCCAGCTGACAAGGTAAGATTAGGTATGATAGAGCTCGCAATAACGCAAACTAGCATACTCGAATTTTAGAAATAAATTTCTAAGGACACACTTCTACCATTTAACAGATATAAGCCTATGAGGCTATGATTCACAAAACAATACATATCTAGCTCCGTATCAGAGTGCACTTAGATTCTGGTACCATTACTTCAAAAGAAAGTCTATAGTAGGATAACAATACAATTGACCACTTGGTATTAACATTCAACTCTCTTACTCTTTGAGTGGAATAATAACAATAACTCAAATGTCTAGACTGTCATGGATGATCTGCACTACTGTTCGAATAAAATTTTAAATGAAAATGTACAAATCTACTGCAGAATTAAACAAAATATCGTTCACAATCACAATCACAAGCAGAACTTATTTAATCACATTCTTTCTTATACACAACATATAACAACCCATTAATAGGCAAAATCACATATCTACACATCACAGCACACAGGAGTGAAATCAACACGCTCACAATCACAAGCAGAACTTTCACCCAATCACACACCTATACACAAACGAGCAGCTTACTGTCCAATTATAGGTTGTATATATAAACAATTTCTACGGCAACACAAAAGCAAGGAAATCACATTTCTGACAATCAGACTAAATACATCAATAAAATGCAGCAACATTAGAAAAATATCATCAAAATAATCAAATAAAACACAAAGTTCAGAAAATTTGATGATGAAATTGAAAATCGAACACAAAGTGATAAACTAAGCCGAAAAAATCGAGCACAAACTGATAAACTTAAAATGAAAAAATCGAACACAATTGAGAAAAAATAAAACCGAAAAAATCGAAATCAAATTCAAAAAATTAAGCCGAAAAATCAAACACAAATTGAAAATAGAGAAATTGATCAATATACAATGAAATGATCGATTAACGTAGAAAAATTTGATGACGAAATTGATGTGCTCAGAATGCCAAACGAAGAAATTAAGCTGAATTATAACATAATTAAACTTATATGAAACTCGATTAAGAATGAACTACCTCAAATAAAGTTAAATTACTCCTACGAAACTTACAAAATTTGCCAAAAATTACAAAATTAATAAAAAACAGAAGCAAAGTACTCAAAAAAAATTACACAAATCGGAAACGAAAAACTCAAGAAATTACTCAAAAAACAACGATATGAAGAAATTATGAAAAACGCAAAATAATAACTCAAAAAACAATTAAAAAATCAGAAAATAACAAAAAACAGAAACGAAAAACTCAAAAATTACACAAATAAGAAACGAAAAACTCAAAAAAAAAAAAAAAAAAAAAACTCAAAAAACATTGATTAAAAAAGCTAAAATAAAGCAAAATTATAAACGATTTCCTTACTTGATAGATCGTAGACAATAATAGGAATCAATTTGATGAAGAATCGAATCAATCACAACTATGCTTTGGAGAAGTAGTATGAAGTTTGAGGAAGAATGTAGAAATCAGGAAAGAGAAAAGAGAGGAGAGAGAATGTTATGCATGAAAATGCAGGAGAGAGAAACCAAAAGGCTGGAAAAAACCCCTACCGTAGGATAAGATGAGTTTGAATCTACGGTCAAGATTTTGTGTTTTCAGTTTTTAACTTAAGGTTGGTTTTCACGTGATCCAACTCCTATATATATATATATATATATATATATATATTATATATATATATATATATATATAATATATATAATATATATATATATATATATATATATATATATATATAATGCGTCAATTTAACTTTTACACTCTTTATACACTGATTTTAACCATTTGCGAGCAACATAATGTCAATGTAAGTACAAAAATAATGCGAAAGTTAAAATATTGCAATTATTTTAAAACGAAAGTTGTAATTCGTATTTCTTAATTATCTTGTATTGAACACGATCCATCCATAATGATTAGTTTGGTAAGAAGCAGTTAAAAAGGATGTATTGTGATGACTAATGAGATTTGTGTATCAACAAACTTTTCATTACTACTTCAATGATGATTTTCTTCAAAGATGAAGATCGGGATGGTGATAAATTAAGATGTGCAGTTGATATTTGCATGAATACGAGCTAGATATGTAGTAGAATTCCTCATGCAATCATGCTTAAGACTTTCGTTACTCGGCTCCAAAACTCGTGGAATAAAGATTATTCCCAAATACTTTATGTTCACGCCTAAAACATCTGTTGCTCCTAAACTCATGGAACAAATATTCTTCCCAAATACTTTGCAGCCACCTTTAAAACTTCCGTTACTCCTGGACTCATGGAGTAAAGATTCCCAAACACATAACTCGTTACATAAATACAATATACGAACAAAATCACAATATTAAGACCTAATTTTTTTTCCCTACAAGTTAATGTGATTTTAATAATATTAGCATGGGAGGTTATCATTTATTGAGATTAATGAAAGATATTATAGGACATATATAGATGTAAATTCTAAAACTTACGATCTTTAATTAATATGTCAATCTCTATATTAACTTATAATTGTCATACTCTAAGGTTATTATACGCCTCAAAATGTACGTACAAATAAATTTTTATAATTCCTCACTACTAGCCTATAATTTTACTATACAATATTGTACCTAAAGCTAGGTATAACTTAGATTGGTTGTGCCTAGCTTTATGTACAACTTACAACCGGTTGTATAATAAAAATGAAACATTGAAACTAATACTCAATCGGGCAACCAACTAACTTCTAATTAATCTACTAGTTATAATGGCTCTACTAGACAATTCAATTCAAAAACCCTCGAAAAATCTACGCTAGGTGAGGGGAGGGGTTTCATGGGTGTTTCTAAGGGAGGGAAGGGTGACGAGACAGTTGGAGGCGAATGGCCGGCGGGAGGAGGGAGAAAAGGTGAGAGATGATCCGACGGGGGCGGGGACTGGGTGTGTGGTGGGGCTGGGGTGATCAGGGAGGAGGTAGGGGTAGGGGCTAGTATTCTGATTTTTTAGAAAAGAGTTTATTTTTGTTTTTCTGTTTGTTTTTTAAAAATAAAATCAAAATTTGACTAATAAAAAAAATTCACCTTTTCAACAGGTTATCAGTCATTGGGATTGAAGAAAGTAAACACCCCTAAATTAAAAATTGAGATTGTTAAATTAAAAGAAAATTAGACATGGTGAGATTATTAAAAACCATTTTTTTTTTTTTTGTGTGTGTGTTTTGTTTGGCAGAATCACCAACTATTAATGTTATATATACTTGTATAATCTAGATGCCAAATGTTTCAATTGAAACATTCTTATGCCAAATGTCTAGTTTAATTATATCGTAACGTTAGCTACTTCACCATTGGTAGATTGGTATTAGGGGCAAAAGTGTAAAAGTACCCGCCTGGTTTGTTTGGCGGGCAAAATGTGAAGGATTTTCGAGTACAATATTAATTGAAATGGCTTTCCTTTACCACATTGTTTTGGTGAAGCTCTTTTTTAGGTCTTCGATTGTTTGGCGTAATAAAATAAAATTTAAAATTACTTTTTCATATAATTAAAACTTGGATTTTGGGCCAAGAGTTCTTATTAAATTCTGTTACAATCCAAGCATCATATATATACAGAGTATACAAGTGTATTATTTTTTTAAATCTTTTGTTCTTTTCTTTATAAATAGTTATGACCTATTGTTCATAGTGGGTTATACTTTGTAATAATTTAATTCAAATTTGTTATCAATTTATTTATTAAATACCTACGTATTACAATTGATTAAATTGAAAAAAAAAATATTAGAGAAATACAACCTATGTTCAATTGAAAGTATATAATGACAATTGGAACATATATGAACATTATTCAGTACATTTTATGGGATGATTGTTTCAGGCTCACATTGTGTCTCAATCGATTGACCAATTTTTTAATTGGATAATGA